GCCCTGCACTTGCCAATGTCTCTGCTACACAGAAAGCTGGGCTATGGCAAATCCCTTCCGCTAGCCAGGAACAGGCCCTGCCCTTTGCTCTGGAAACCAGACCAAGCATTTATTTCATTTTGAAGTTATTCAGAAATAGAGAGCAAAATTTTAAAGGATAGGCCATTCTTTTTCATTATTTAATACTTTATTCAAATTCAAGTTCTTCCTTCAAAAGATCTAACTTCAACTTTCAGATCAGACACCAACGCTACTTAAAACAGCATAGCCTTCCCCACCACGGGTACTCTTTATAGATCTAAAATAATTTGTGTAACAGTCATACATACTCATTTTTCACTAATATTAAAATATAAATAACAACATAAAATAGGTATGCTATCTACAGAAAACCTATATGAATTATAAAGTAATTGTATAAAAGAATATAAAAATTAACTCCCAAGCAACAAGAGGAATTACCAGTAGCAGCAGTAAAACATCCTTACAGCCTTGTACACTGGGATATCACTTATTTATATGTTGAGAACAACCTTACCCAAGGTGGCTGTACAGATGAAAATCAAGTAAGAGTTTAAAGGTTAGTCTCCTAAACAAGGCTAGGTGCAGATCGATAGCAGGAAGTAGAGTATTATTACATCTTGCTAGTATGTAACATCGCGTAAGTACTTGCACATCAGATACAGCTCCACGGCTAATCCTGTGCCTAACTCCAATGGGGAACCTCTGAGAAACGAAACAAATGCTGTTGGTAAAATTGTGGAATAGGAGCTTCCTTACTGAGACTACTTTGAGCACGTCTCGGTAAGAAATCTCACCCTTGTGTATACAGCAGGGCCAGAGGAGTGTAAAAAGAAGAGAACAAGGTCACTTTATAGCTCATTTATGGCATTACTTAGAGGTAGCAAAAAAAAAAGGACATATCACCACGTGCTGACAAGTGTTTACAGAACAGACAGCCATTAGCTAACTTGGTTTTCGGTTCGCTTTAAAGTTTGAAATATTAATTTGTGACTTATGTCTCTCCTTAGATTTACTTCTTCATACTGTAACCACATTATTTTTCCAACATGCCATCTGGGGCAGGCCAGAGATGAGCCAGGCCTTTTGCAGAAGCAGCACTCACTTTACACACATTCTCTCTCAGAAATTAGTTCTATAAAGAATGTTTTTTTAGTGCAAGCATTGATTCCATTTGACAAGTACTTGGAAGTCCTGCTAAAACCTAAATCTGCATATTATTTCCTAGGATGATTAAAAGAAACTCAGTGGATCAGATTATGGAGAGTAGCAGCATGGTCTCATTCTGTCTACTTAGAAACTCTGGTCTAAATTATTTATCTTCTGGAGCTTGCAGGCTCTGAAGGAGCAGCATCACCCCCTCCCTCTTTACTCTCCTCCAGACCTTTTCCTCCCATTGCCAGATGTCACATCCACATGCCATTTCTCAGAAAATGGAACCTGAACTGCTAACGCTCATAGTGGTACATTTAGCTATAACCCTTCATCCACTTCAGGAATTACCTAAATTGGCAAAAACACAGAGAGACTTCTGTGAGCAACACAACCTGATTTCCTGTGGATTCTCTGAAGACCAGCCCTGGCTAAAATTGCCCAATTCCACAAAAATACTCCCCAGACTTGTAGTGCTCTAACACCACCAATTGCCAATTGCAATAATAGTCAACTAAAATCTTTAGAAGGTTATTATATGAGGCTGAGTGGATGGGATATAAAAGGAAAAAAGAGATAGAGGAGGAACATGACTGTTCAGTCTTTGTTAGGAGGAAATGTAGCCTGGATGTTGAAGTACAGATGAAGTAACTGTTGATTTAGAGGGCGTCCAGCTACAGGCCTGTGTTTGGCCACACAGATAGCCCTGGGATTTACCTTCAAAAGACTGAGGGACCTTGATCAAGTGCTGGTCCTGCTATTTGGCTTGATTCCCCATCACTTACGTTCCCATCAGTGCTAACAAACCTCAGGAAACACGGGTGGCCAAAGATGGCTCTGCAGCAAAAGGCAGTGCCTGCCCTGAGATGCTGGACAGACAAAGCAGAAAGAAGTGAAAGAGGCCCCTACAAAACAATCATATAATCGTCATAGAATCATGGAATGATTTAGGTTGGAGAAGACCTTTAAGATCATTGAGTTCAGCCATAAACCTTACCCTGTCAGGTCCACCACTAAACCATGCCCCTAAGTGCCATATCTACAGGTCCTTTAAATACTTCCAGAGATGGTGATCCTACCACTTCCCTGAGCAGCCTATTCCAATGTCTGACAACGCTTTTAGAGAAGAAAGTTTTCCTAATGTCCAATTTAAACCTCCCCTGGTACAACTTGAGGCCATTTCCTTGTCGTAACTAAAAATTCTTGGATTATTAGTACAATCTGTTCAGGTCTGGGCTGGTGCTTCTCATTCAACCAGCAGAGAGAGAAATGTGGTTGTTTACCTGGGATGACAGTTCTAAACTAAACAATTTATTTTTGAGGGAATGCTGGATTAAGGTTCTATACCACTGCTTACTGACTCATCCCGCGTGTGGGTCTTCCCCTTCAGCTCTGCTCTCACATACAGAGGAGCAGATTGGGGCACATGGTAGTGGACAATCCTGTGTAAGGGGAAGAAAAAGCCAGGATTCCTCTCTCAGCTCCTCAGGCTGGCTGCTTTTCTCTGGGTGAATGACCCTAACTTCCTGACAGTTCTCATGCAGAAAAG